AATTTTTAACTGTGTTGTGTCGTTTGTTAAAGGAGGATGGCAAGATGACTTATTAATTTCGTTCTTTACTTTACGAACGGCCAAGACAGGAAATGTGGTTACGTGCTCGCCGTTAAACTCGTAATTCTCAGATGCATTAACGTTTGATGAAAGATTCAGTCGTTTTAATGAGATGCGAGTGCGCTCAAAATTTGTGCGCTGGTCGATGAATATTTGATTGACCATTTCAGTCCTCGCCCTCTCTCTCTCTCTCTCTTGCTCTCTCGCTCAATCTTTCTCTCTGTCTAATGCAATGATATATCATCTTCGAAATTTTTCAATACAGCTGATATGAATTTCATCTAAATCAAAACATTATTGTAATTTAAAAAAAAATTAAAGAATCATTTTTATTAAAGCAATGAACAGGGTGCTGCTATTTCTCTACAACACTTTAATATTTAACATTAAGTATTTTAGTAGTTGTGTCATGAATTTTTTATTTATATCGCGAAATCTTCACTTTGAAATATTTATGTTAAAAGGTATCGCTAAAAAACTTTCTATTTTAATTAAGAAAAATTAACTGGCAAAATTAATTTTCTTTTTAAATTTCAGTTAAGTTAATTAAAAAGATAAATAAATAAATAAGTGTAAAAGACTAAAAATGTCATTATGAAAATAGACACTCTTAAAATTGATATTGAGATCTTGGAGTATTCTGTAAGATTTATAAAAATAGATGAATAGCGTTTTATGATTTATTGAAGTAAGAGATTATTTAGGCTAATAAATAATCGCGCAATGTAACTAATTGTTTTTGCAGGAGAGATCGAATCTTATAAATCAAGGACATAAATCGCATCGCGAATCCTCGTAGTTCGTTAATATTAAGCGAGTATTTCCCGTAGAAGAACGCGATTTGTTTGCAACGCGTATTACTCGATTTGTACAATATTATTGTCAATATGTCTTTTCGTTTTTTATCTCGCTTTCCTTTTGTGTCATTTTGGCGCCTCTGATACAATGTAAAATTGCTTTATCGATTTAAAGACTAATAGATTTATAGCTTCTCTCATGAAAATTTCCATGGGAGAAAAGAGGAAGGTAAATTCTTCGAGCTAAAGCAATATTAAATTAACACTCTCGTGAAGTATCTCATATTATTTATAAATTGCAGAAAATTATCCTCGTACTAAAATATAAAATTCTTTAGTAAGCTTAATGTAATATTTCCTTATTAAAAATGTTCATGATTGCATATACAGGACTAACTTGTTAATTAGATGTAATTACGTTTATTTGCTTTGCAAATTTTTTGCTTTGCAAATTTAATAATATTAAGTATGGCGACATTAATATAATTGTATGAACAGGTACACACAGAGATACTTTTTCTGAGATAAGAGATCTTTTTAAAAAGAAATAATTTATATTTATATGCTAACCAATATATTATCTGATGAATAAATCTAATAACGGAATTCTTTTTCCTCGTAGAATTAAACGCGTTTCCGTTTCTCTCTCGATTATTTTCCGGAACGATTCTTCGAGATACCTCACGAACAGAATAGAATTGCGGCGCCGATTTCACGGTTTTACTTTCCGCATGCCTCCTTCCGTGCTCTCCTACGTATTGCCGATGAAATCCACAGTCTCTTCGCGAACGCGCGTTTATCTATTCGTGGCGCGTTCAGCCTTCGATCCTCTAAAACGCGATCCATACGGCGCGGCGCGAAGAAGCACCGATTGGCTTCCTCTTCGACCTCCGAGATAGGATTGACTGCAGTCGGTGGATTTTTCGAGCGACGCGATATCGACGTTCCGCTGGATTTCACGCGGATCCGACAATGGGAACCGCGATGGTGCGGGGCACGATTTTTCTACGACTCGGCGAAATAAATTGAAATCCCGAGGGCGCCGGCTACGATCCCGTAATTTGCGGCGCGAAAGGAACTCCGTAGAGAGACGGGCGTTTAACGTCATCCGCGCGAGCGCGGCGCGTTGTTCCTTTCGAGCGAAACTAGGAAAAATTTCCGCGATGTCTGCCGTCGACGATAAGGCTAATAAATTACCATGCATCCGTCTTTAGCTTCTCTATCCGAGTTTGCGGCCGCGTCGCGAGCGCCGTCCATTACGACGCATCGCGTGAAATATTACAGCGTAATTCTGTCGAGTGTCACTGGGACAGGTGCACCGATATAAATGACTGCTGAATCTGTGCTTATTTTCTGTGCAGCTGGGTATGGTGTGAAGTAATATTTTTATAAACACGAAGGCTATGATATACACACTCTCTTTCTACCACGCAATTTTTCTATTAAATATATTTACATATATTCTTTTAATATAATAATATTTTTTATTTGTCATTTTTATTCAATTGTAATATAATATACTATATTAAAATAACTATTAAAGTATTTTCCCTTCGAGTTCATATTTTAATATTTTTTTTTATTAATTATATTTTGGTTAATATTAATTGTAAAATATATTCCTTGTCTTTTTCAACAAAGTTTCATTGTTTAAGAATATTTGTAGATCCTGAATCAATTTAGATAAGCTACAGTTTATTTTTATAATTATTCTAGATTAATCGTACGTATATTTACTTACGCTGAAAAAAGAATAAAAGATTTGAGTATAATTAATACCTATTGCTTTTTTTTTATAGGTATTCCTTACTCTTAATAATCTAAAAACTTCTTTCATTATATTAGATACAAAGCTTTAAAATCAAATTCCTGTTTTTGAACATATGGATTATTGCCCGAATTCTCTCTACTCGGTGCTATATTTCACAGCGGAATCTCCGCCGAGAAATCGACCGCGACAAATCGCGAAACACGGCGACGCGTCGCGTCGAAACGTTCCCGAAACTGGAAGTTCGCAAATTCAATTTCCCGATTCCACGCGACGGCGCGGCGCATATTTCGTCGTCTCCGAAGTACGCGAAGCGCGTAAAGCCAGAGGACCTCGCTAAGGAGTTCTCGCCCACAAGCGCGGCCGCCTTTCAGCAGAGTTTCCTCAGATCGGGTGAAAGGAGTACAGCAGATTGTTTCGCGTGTCGAATATTTCGCTCTAATGTAACACACATTCGAGTCTTTATCGCACAACTATTCGCGACGCAATTAGGATAAGTCGATGAAGAGGACGAATGTGCGAGAAGGATAATTGCAAAAACAGTTTGGAAAAGATAGAGCGACGAACACTTCTCTAATTTATCTAGAATTATTCGACTATATCATTTTTATTAACACATCAGTAAAGAATATTATAAAAAATATGATAAAATGCAGAAAATTAATTAAATGTCTAAATATTATATTAAATTAATTATTTATGTTAAATATGCATATAGTATTATATATAATTAAAAAGGTAGAAAATATAAAATATGTAGTTGACAGCTTGTTATAAAATTTGCGCAAAATGCTCTCTATTTATAATTTTATATGTCGTATAATATAATAACATTTGAAGAGATAAAACACATCAAAAATAAAGTACAAAAATAAAGTACACATGTATAAATATATAAAATTATATAAATAAACTTTCCTTTTGAAGTTTATATCAAATTAAGTATTGTCTAAAATGAACTATGCAGAAAAGATAATTTAAATTAATTTCTATTAATACTTGATCTATAATATTAAACTATTTTATTATGGAAAGAATATGCTATGTTATTTTATTGTAGATAATATATGAATATAATCAGATTATAAAAATAAAAGATTGTGTAGATATATGTTTCCACATATATCGATATGAAAAATCGAATTCACCGTAATTGTATCGGTCTCAATTGCTGTCCGAGATTCGATACGACATTATTTCGAGCGGTCGCGTCGCATCAGAACGCATTTCTGCGTGAGAGAATCGCGAGAGAGTCGCGCACTTGGCTGGACTCCTTTTGTTTTTCTACGGCCGACTCGCGTGATGCATTTGGTAGCCGATTCGACCATATAAAGCGACAAATGTCCTTTTATGGTGACCATTGCCATCCAGGGGAACCGCGTGCCGGGAGAGTCCGAGTCCGGTATCTTATGCCAGAACTTTCCTAGTACCGGACGAGTCATTCCTCCGGCACGGACGTTTCATTAAAATCCTTAATGATCTCCCGTTCAACCACGAAATCGAATAATCCTCTCTGTGACATATTTCTTTTTCGGAATTTTGGACGTTGAAAATGATGAGTTTGCTGTGAAAACCGCAGATAATTTTACATTTTTTAATGTCAGATGTGATCTGTCACTTGCTTTTGATATTGTGTTATTCAATCTTTTATGTAGCGCGTTCGAATAAAATGTTATTAATTTTTTAGATTTATCGATAAAAATCGATACTTTAAGACTTATTAATAAAAATATACATATATTGAACATACAGATTTTGAAAAGGTTTCAATGAATAAAATTCTTCAAAATAAAAATATATAATTAATAATAATAGGAAAAAATAATAATTGTGAGCTTAGAAATTTGTATGCGCAGAGAAAGATTTTAATTTTCGAGCCGAGAAATATGTGTTTGGAGGGGATTTCTATATCGTTTATTAAATTCTCAATATCAACCGCTCTCTGCTCTGCCGCATTAGATTTTCTTCTCCGTAAATCCTATGTCAAGGAGACTGACTCTCGTTAAGCGGTCCAAGAGAAAAATACTGTTGAACCGAGTCGACGTCTCAGTGAACAAATGGAACCGAGCTTACTCGCGATCCTAGCTACCATCCCGTATACCGGGCGAAATCTCATACTACTTTGTATAATATACAAGAAGCATATTTTTCTACGATGATTCCACTTAAATCGCTAGAACTTATTTCTCTTAGAATTATGATTTATTTTTATTTAATATTAGTAACAATTAATTTCTGATATAAAAAAGGCATGAAAAAATATGTGGCTGCACATTTTTCTAGCATTGTCTCGTGTACACATTAAGTCTATTTAATTTTTTTAAATCCACTTTTAATTTGCACAAAAGTCATGAAACGATATTGTATATTTTCAGAAAGACGACGAGAAAAATTTTTATACATCGAAGATCTACCGCGAAATCACGGATGCGTCCCTGCGTTTGCAACAGCGAAAAGGATATCACTCTAAGGAGGTAAGCTCTTGTACAGACAGCCATCGTCATCTCTCCCTCGCGCTTTTAATTCAGTCCGATGCACCTTCTTTCGTCTATCACTCTTGGTCGCGGATCTCTTTCTTTTACGCAATGTAGACGCACCCGCAATCAATGATAATTTACAGTAACGATTGAAGATTACTGTAGCAAAATCTCCATTATCATTTTGATTGCCAATATTTTGGCAAAAGATAATTTTATGCATATATGTGATTTTATTGATTTTTTTTTCCAACTTTTATTCGTAAGAAATTAATTGAAAATTTTAAATTTCTTATTCTTTTTTTTAAATACAATGTGCTAATTATTGCATAACAGTAAACTTGAAAAAAAGATTTTTATTTCATTACTGCTCTAAACACACACACGTGTATGTAAGGTATTTCGATGAAATTAAATATACATATAATAAAATAAGATGCAAATTAATTATATTATAAATATATAAAAAATTCTGCGAATACATATATAACACCACCGCAGAATTAATACAAAGTATCCAGATCGAGGGATCGATTGGAAGTAGAACGATCTCGATCTGCTCGAACGTGAACAATAAATCATTCGCGCTCGCGCTTACCCCGATAATTAAATTTTAATCGAGTGCTTAATTAGCACGTCTCTCACGCTTGCTTAACAAACGCGAAACTTTCCGATTTTTATGAACTTTGCGATTCGACGTCTCAATCCGAGGCGCGCACATAAATAACGGACTCGATCGACCGTACATAAGTCGGTAGAACGGAATCCGGGGTGAGGGACGCAATGACCGTGATCAACGAAATTAAAACGACTCTTTTTCGTCTCATGCGATATTAACGTTAATTCGCGTACACGCGGTCCTCGCCGATATATTATTTCAACGACGTGAGCGTGATACTTATTTCGATAACCGCCGCGGCGCAACATTGTACTTTATATCGAATAATCAAGTCTGGGGTACCACTTTACCTGGTATAATTATCGCTGTCCAAAACGAAATGCAAATATGTAGGCCCTCTTTTTCCCTACTACTCCCTCGTATTCCGCGGTATTTCAATGCGAGAGTATGACGCGGCGATATTATCTTAAACGTTGTAATATATTTAATGATGTAAGAAACGGGTTGAAACGCGAGCGTTACGCTACGCACTGAACATCCACAAAGTTGAATACTTATGAGCTTCGTCATTGTCGAACTGAGGCTTACAAGAGATGATAGAGAGAGAGAGAGAGAAAGGGGAAGGAATGATCGAAAAAGTTAAGGAACTAATTGTAAGGTGAGATAGTTTATGTCACTATTCAGATCGCAGACTCGTGCGCGTGTAAATTCGATATTGGCCTGGATCAATCGATGGTATAATCATGAATCAAATGGATCTCTGTAGAGAAAGCTTTTTTTAAGAAAATTTTAAAAAATGATAAAATCGAAAATATACCCAATGTAGCAAATATCGTAATAAAAATTATTGACAGAAATTGAAAGAAAATTTCGGAAAAAAGTTAATATATATAGAAGGTTTTTTCAAATAAAATATAAATTAAAAAGAAACCAGTAAAAGTCCTGAAATTATTTATTTTATTATTTAATAAATTTATCGTGGTGCAAGTAGTCACATGTCTTCACAAAATCGTGTATTTATCGAGTTGCCCGACATTAATTATAGAATTAGAAAACCAATGCACCAATGCATTGCACGTGATAGTTAAGTGATGCACCGATAAACGCACGTGATAGTTAAGTAATGATTGAATCCTGCGGATCGAGCGGATCTAAATCACGTATTCATAGAACACAATTCCACATACGCTAAATGCGTGCCGAACATCTCTTGCATCGGGACACTGGGACGTTGGGTGGATAAAGGAGGTGGTAACTAAGTGATTGGAGGTTCAAAGGGAGATAACCGCTCATCGAGGCGATATTGCAATATATCGACCGATGAGAGAGACGCTTCCCTCAACGTCGTGGGTGTGTATATATATATATATACACATAATTTATATTTTATTTGAAAAAACCTTCTATATATATTAACTTTCTTCCGAAATTTTCTTTCAATTTCTGTCAATAATTTTTATTACGATATTATATATATATATATATATATATATATATTATATATAATATTATATATAAGTATGCTGCCTTCTATAATAATATTATATATATATATATATATTTTTTATTACGATATTATATATATATAATTTCGTAATAAAAATTATTGACAGAAATTGAAAGAAAATTTCGGAAGAAAGTTAATATATATAGAAGGTTTTTTCAAATAAAATATTTGAAAATATATATATATATATATATATAACACAAAGTGCTATAATTGTCCAAGTAATTTCTATGTGGGTGATGAGAAAATTCATAGTCGATTCACTTTACCATGTGTTTATATACACAATATAATACAACTCATGAAATACATTCGTCTCATCGCGTCGAATCAGAAATGATCTCGATATGGCGAACACGTCTACTTATGACGAAGCTACCGAGAAATTTTTCGCCGAAGAAACGGAACCGAGGTCGAGTCGACGTTAGCAGGAAGTCAGATTGGGAACATGCGTCTTCGCGGTGGAATCCGCGCTCGCGCCGCTAGTAGTATTTAGCGCGGGAATGCGGTTCACGATTACCGGTTGCTACCATTGCTAACCACGGTGACGTGTACCGGTTAGGTTCATGGATACCTTATCAAGGACGAATGCACAAACAGCATCGATTTGTCCGCACTAGCTTTTTCTCACGTACAAAAGTCGCAACAGGACGAATGAAATAAATGTGGGGGACGCGAACGATTGTTAGAATTTTGCTGAATGTAAAATGTCTATTGAAGCTAGAGATATGTTGAAGAAATGAGTATATATTAAATTACAAAATTTATAAGAATAACTTCTCGTTAGTTATTTTGTAAATAAGGAAAGAAGAAAGTAAAGCGAGATTAAAAAGTTTGTAATAACAAATAATTTTGCACAAAGGATTGAAAGGAATGGGCTAATAAGAGCTGGTACGTCGGAAATAATAAGAATGCACCGGTTCTTATTAATCCATTCCTTTCAATCCTTTATTTGAATATATTAGAGCCTTCTCTCTCCATCGTAATAAAATCATTTCGTTATCACAAATAATTGAACAGATATCTTATTATTAGTAAACAATTATACATTATAATTATTAATAAAAGTAAATAGTTTCTTATTTACTGCCTTATCACAATTATCTCGTTTTGCCTTAAACAAAGAAAAAAAATGATTTTATTCTAGAAAAAACTGTTCGTTGCAGAAAATATAAAATAGTACTGCGACTTTTGTGTAGGTTGAAGAAAATCACTTGAAATCCTTGATAATCCTTAAGGGATCGTAATTTTACGCTTTGTCCTTAAATAACTGCAAACTTGTAGTCAAATCGGAATTCCGTAGCCCCGTAGGGAGGAAAGAGCGAGCTGTCTGTCGCAAGGCGGTGCACTTTGATCGTATTCAAAGTACGGATTCCCCGACCGAGTAGGTCGCAGCTAAAACGGGGGTTGACATTTTCCCTTTCTCTTTCTCGGGAAAGAGAAGCTCCCGATTCGATCCTCGGCTCTCATTCTTTCCTCTTTCGCCTCTCTCTTGACTCTTCTCACTGCGCGGACTAATGGTGGCAGTGACTAATTATCTAGGGTGAGGCTCTTTCCTCTCTGTCTCTTCTCGATGCTTTCCACCCTCCTCATTCCGTTTAGTGCCTTGCAAGAAAGAGAAAGAAAAAGAAGATATGTGCGTGTGTGCGTCCTCTCCTGTCTTTACGGCCATTTATTTGTCCTCTCTAGGCTGCATTTCTGCAGAGTCAAACAGAACACTTATATGGACTTCGTCACCGACGAATGCTCGTTTCGTGCCGGCATAGGATATACCGCTACATCGCGGGGACCATTGTTTTGCACCGGTTAGGCCGAACTCGGGCCGAGGTAGGACTCGCGCACCGTCCTTATTAGCAATTCAAATTGGCGGCAATTTTTTCAGCGCATTTTTGACCTCCTGTATCGGGGAGGTCTCTTCGGCTTTTGTCCCCCGTTGTACACGTTGGACGCGCCGAAAGTTCCTCTCCCTTATTAAGCCCGCCCTCGCCATATTAAGGACCATGCGCGCATTTAAGGACCTCGAGTAATAATTAGGCTCTAAACCCCGCGGTCTTTTATCCGCGTCCAGTGCGACAACACATTTTGCTCACTGCATTTCTCTGTCGCTTTTTCTTTTTTTTTTCTCTTGACGCAACGACGAAACAGATTAGCGATCTATAAATCGTATTGCGATGTTTGTGAAATAAACTGTGATCGCGAAGTCAGACGTGCGATTTCCGTGGGATTGTGTTTAAGATATTTTTCGGTCATTCTAACAGAATTAATGTGTGTCAACGGAATACGATAGTGGAAGATCTTCCCAGAAATCATTGGCAAGGGCTAAAATCGTATGTTTTAATGATATAAGAACCTATACATGAATTAAGGACGCAATTATTATATTTAATTATTCTAATTAATCTATAATTTAATTTACTATTACTTCATATATTGTATTAACATAACTATTATAATATATTATATTATATTAACATATATTATAATATATTATATTAACATAACTGTTGTTTGCATTGCATTGTGACAATATTCAGAAATAAGTTGGGAAATAGATATATATGCGAATAGAATTCGTCCGGGAAAAAGACTAGATAAGGATAGATAACAGTCTTTGATGCTTGTGCATCAAATTGCATTTCGATGCATTCAGAATCTTTTCGTCTGTGCTACATTTACTTTCTAAAGGTACTTAAATTCGACGGTGCCACTCTTGATTCGTCCCATTCTCGACGGTCAACAAGAAAGTCAATATTTTTGTGCATTATATTATCCCGATTTCGTTGCATTACGTTCATCGTTATTTTCTCGATAGAGAAAATGCAAGAAATTGGAGAATTGAAACGATACGAAAGTGCATCGAATTTT